CTTTCATTGGTGGTCTAGTGGTTAGGATTCGGTACTCTCAGCGCTGCAGCCTAGGTTCGATTCCCAGTCAAGGTATAGTCGTTTTCAATAACTAATTGATGTTTTTTTTTCCCATTACATCACTCTCACAACTAGCAGGAAAGTCCTATTATATGACTTTCGAAAAGAGAGGAAACATTATAAATATAGCAAGTATTTTTGTTGTCTTAACAGAATACAAAGTAACATACAGAGAAGAACAATGCTAATAGGACCCAAATAAAAATAAAAGTTAATGCAAACAAACATTAGTGAAGAGAATGGCTAACTATTTGGTCAACCTGAAACTAGTCTATTCCAGAGCTTGTTGTACAATGAATTTGAGAAGTGTTGAATAATGGCTGTTAAATACGTTGCCAGATTTACACAAATAATTATTTCGGGCATTATAACAACCATTAAATACATTTTTTTTTTTAAACAATTTTTTTAAAACAATTATATAGCCTGACATTGGTCAGATTTCATAAAAGCTGCTCCTTTCCACAGAAATCTATAGTAAAAGGTGAGAAACCAGAGTATGTTAGTGTAACAGACCATGGTTAACCCGGCTGGTTACCTCCGCTATTAATTATTGACCAGACACATTTTCCACCAGTAACTGGACGACACACAGTTCCCAGGGTACAACAACAAGCTTTATTGGCCACACTCAGCTTTATACTCTCCCCATGCAAGGGGTGGAAAACAGGAAAAAGACAATGTCCCCTCTCTTTGTCCTCCCCCTCCCAGGGGTCGTATATTGGATCTGGATCCCTAGTCCCTTTGTCCCCTGTTCCCGCCACTTCATGTCCCTTCCCAAGGGCCAGTGCGTGTGATGTGAACTCCTGTCCCTTTGTCCCCGGTTCCCGCCACCCAAATACAGGGTTTCCCACTTCCAATGGCAGGGGGGTGTTCTACCCAGGACTCTCTGTACCTGGGAGAAACAGCACAGGAAAGATTTTCACCTCCTGGGCTCCCAGGTACAGAAAGCCTGCCAAACCGCCATTGTCCCCACAGGGCATCCCCATCAATCTCAGGGACCCCCAGAATGGTAACCAGCATGAACAATCTTTGTTCGCGGGGTACCTGGGTGAAACCAAGCAAGGGAAGCGTCTTCTTTCTGGATACGAATGCTCCCCCTGGCCAGCGCTCGTCTATACGAATGGCGGCCACCCAGGGAAGCACTCATTAATTACTTTCCTTGCGGTTTCACACTTATATTGCAAGTTGACACCATTCTAATTGATTGGTGTGAACACTCCCAGGTTCGCTGGGGAGGTCCTCTTTTGGGAGCCGAATGAGGTGTGAACCAATCTGCGAATGCTCCCCCTGGATGGCGTTCGTCTAATGAGCGGGTTGCCACACGACAACGCTTCCCTTGCAGTTTGTGGTTTTCACAACTCGTCAGCGAGGTGTGAACATTCTAAATAAACATTCTAAATGGGCTATTGGGGTGGTCCCTGTTTATCTGTTGGACTGGGGAAAGCATCCACGGATCACTTGTCCAGGGCGATTTTCCTGGACAGGTCATCGAAATTGCCATACTGCTTTTCAGGTCTGTAGTTGATGGTAATGTCATATGGCTGCAGGGCCAGGCTCCACCGTAAAAGCCTGGCATTGTCCCCAAAGACCCGGTTAAGCCACACCAACGGGTTGTGATCCGTGAGCAGGGTAAATTGCTGTCCATACAAGTACGGCAGCAGTTTTGTGAGTGCCCACACCAACACTAGGCACTTATTTTCGATGGTGGCGTAGCTTACCTCCCTGCTGAGGTAACCACCATCATCCCCGACCTGGCTCAGTACTGCTCCCAGTCCGAACATAGAGGCATCTGTGTGGACGAGAAAACTTTTCCTGTGATTGGAGGCAGCCAGCACAGGGGCTTTTACCAGGGTGTCCTTGAGAACTTGGAATGCCTGCTCTCACTCTGAGGTCCAAGCTACCTGTCGGGGCAGGTTCTTGCGGGTCAGGTTGGTGAGGGGTTTCGCAATGGCGCTATAATTGGGGACAAATTTCCTGTAGTACCCCGCAGTCCTTAGGAAGGCAAGCACTTGGGTTTTGGTGCGGAAACTGGGCCAGCTAGCGACTACCTCTATCTTGGCCGGTTCCGGTTTCTGCGCCCCACCCGGTGTCCTAGATACTGCACCTCTGCCATCCCGAGGTGACACTTACTTTGGTACAGATCTGTTCTAAAAATGTTAATTCAAACTGCTTACTGATCAATACAAAATTGTTTCCACAGTCCTGTTTTCTGTCCTTGTCTTATGCTGAATAATAATAATTACACTGAGTAAGATATTGGGAAGAATAGTTGCTGTTATAGAATGTGACTGTGTGTATGGGAGCAGTGTGGAAGTTTTGGGACAATCCTGCAAACTGAAAGCTGTGACTCATTGGCTAGTGGGCGTGTCGTATGCAAAATAAGCCATTGTTATTTCACACCAACAATCTTGTCAATTTGATTTAAAAGCATTGAAATTACATGAATCTTCAGGAATTGTTTTTAAAAAATGTTGTTTGATAATATTGTTTATATTTGTGTAAATGTGAAATATACAGAATGTCATCACATGTGTAATAGAAATCGTTGTCAGCCTGTTCTTTGCTTGTAGTATCAATTCATTAATGCTATACTTTTAGCCATCATTTCTATAGTTTGTAACTTGTGAAATGTGTTTTAAAATGTCCAAACTCAGTACCCACGAGGAAAAGTTTAAGTGTTTTCTCCTAAGCATGAAGTGTGTTTTCAGTGCTGCTTTATTGTAGCTGCTGGCTGTTGTTGATGACCGTTCCTCTCTTCTTAATTGGAGAGTAGGAGGGAGAGAACACAAGCTGAGTGGTTACTGTGTTCTGTGTTAATGAATAGATGAAATAAACGAGTGAACTTTAATAGATATTGTTGCACTTATGCTAACAAAGATATCCGCTCAGCATGTACTATGTTTTAATGTGTGTTTGAAATTGTCACATTTGCTGTCTATGTTTTAATTAGTTTGTGTGTCATCTGTTGGCTTTTTTTTCCATCCTGTGTAATCAATTGTCAATCATGTGCCATCTGTTGGACGGAAAGTGTATGTTCTGCTATCTGTAATCTATCAGTATTTATGTTATCTGTTGGTAGCTGTATGTAATGCATTCCATTTAAAACATTGTCAGATTTCTTACTAAATGTACACATACTGAGAAGGTTTGTGTGACGCGACCAATCTCGCCACTGTGCATTGGAGGAGCCTGGTTGCCTGCCTGCTGCCTTTTGACTATGGACCGGCATTTAAATACTTTCTTTTCCTATGCAGAAAGGTCTATTCCTGTATTTCTGCCCTGGCGTTCAGTAGATCCTTGTATATACTGAATGAACTCATTTAAGCCGTGTCTCCTTTCCCCAGCGGCAGTGTGAAGTGCAGGGAGTGGAGAGCATCGTCTCCCCTCCCCAGCGGCAGTGTACCTTGCAGGGAGAGGAGAGCAGTGTCCTCCCTCCCCAGCGGCAGGGTGAGCTACAGGGATGCTGGGCGGTCGTCTCAGATCCCCAGCGGCAGTGTGAATTGCAGGGAATTGGGAGCCCAGTCTCCTTTCCCCAGCGGCAGGCTGAGTTACAGGGGACAGAGATAGTTGCTCCTGTCCCCCAGCAGCAGAGTGAATTGCAGGGAATTGGGAGCCCAGTCTCCATTCCCTGTGGCAGTATGAGTTATTGGGAATTGGGAGCCCAGTCTCCATTCCCCAGCAGCAGGCTGAGTTACAGTGGACAGAGATAGTTGCTCCTGTCCCCCAGCAGCAGAATGAATTGCAGGGAATTGGGAGCCCAGTCTCCATTCTCCAGCGGCAGTATGAGTTATTGGGAATTGGGAGCCCAGTCTCCATTCCCCAGCGGGAGATACAGCAGGGAATTGGGAGCCCAGTCTCCATTCCCCAGTGGCAGGACTCTGTATTGGGAGCAGAGACAGTCGGTCTCCCTCCCCCACGGCTGGAAGTATATATGGGAGAGGAGCTTGTTACCCCCTCTCCCCAGCAGCAGCTTAACATACCATGGGGAGACAGTAAGCCCCACAACTGTGCAGATGGGACCGTGGTCTCTGCACTTACAGCACAGGGGGTAGGGTCCTGCCCCCCAGCGACAGGGCTGTTTAGCCAAAGGGGAGACAGTCGGTCTCCCCCTCCAGCAGCAGAGCTGTGTATCTAAAGGGGAGACAGTTGGTCTCCCCCTCCAACTACCAGGCTCCAACCAGGCTACTCCCGTGGTGGCGCCCACACAGCCATGGTGAGGCACCTGGACATGGACAAAGTTCTCCTCTACCCAGGTGTAGTAACCAGTTATTGTGGGTGGGCTGTATTACTGATTGTGTTTTGTGGGTGGGCTGGTGGACTAACAAGGGCACTGACTGGCAGGAGGTCAGATACCCTGTGTGGCGAAACCGACCTCGCCACTGGGCATTGGAGAGGACTGATTGCTAGCCTCCTGCCCTGCGACTATGGCCCTGGGATGTATTGCCCTTTAAGAACTGATTTGGGCTTACGGACTTTTATTGTACAGTGCTGGCCCTTTTAAAAACAGTGTATGGACACATGGAAACTTTTTGGACACTTTTTCTTCCCCTTTGAATCACTGGGAAGGTAAGGCTCTTCCCCTCCCCAGCTCCATTGTTCTCCAGCAGGGAGTTGTCCCAGGGACACTGCCAGACCAGTGGGAACTGGTTTGGGAAGGAAAAGCCATGCTTGCAATTGATAATAAAGGGACCTCAACCTAACTTTTTAACCCCTAGACGGATTCATGTGATTTTTTACATTTACAGTATTTATTCGTATGTGATGTAAGCTCACAAAGCTATAAAAATTTATAAAAAGTGTAACTTTTCAGCATGGAGATAATTGAGTAGATACAGTCATTGACTCAATTATCTCCTAAGCAGAAGGGAGGAATATGATGGGTGTGTTTCTATTGTCCCATTGTGTCTGATTGGCTGCTGTACTTGCATTGTATATGTTGTAATGTGTTTATTGGTTGTACTGAGAAACCCTGTGGGTGGTCCTATGTAGGGAAAACCTGCATAAAAGAAGGCCCTTTGGTGTCAAGTAATACAGTTCCTGCTTAACCCTCAAAGTGAAGTGTCGTCTCATTATTGGGGAAGGATTTATTGTATGCTGTTCCAGTTTGACTGCTAGGAGCCTAAACCCATCCGTATGGTTTATGCCTATTCAGCTGTTTATAGCATTCATATGCTTGAGAGAAGGTATACGCTTCTCCAGTTCGGTGATTGTGGTGTCTGCCAGAGTGCTTGGAGTCCTCAGGAAATGCTAGGAGCATCCTTTAACTGAGGTACCCAGTCGGGGTGCCAGGTGATCCGTCACACCCTGTTAGTCTGTTTGGAAAAGGGGAGAGATGTGACGAGACCAATCTCGCCACTGTGCTTTGTTGGAGCCTGGTTGCCTGTCTGATGCCTTTTGACTATGGACCGGTGTAACGGACCGTTTTGCACAAAAGGGGTAAAAACCATTTAGGCGATCTGCCCCCTTTCCAGAGATACAGGCACAGCTACTGCAGAACACCAAACTCCCGAACTGGATGCAAAATAGCACTCCAACTCCCGAACTGGAACCTCCCAAATAGCTGCTAGCAGACGAACAGGAAAAGCAGACAATCAGCTTACACTCCTGGCAATCAGTCTCTAACAGCATACAGTGAATCCCCCCAAGAACGAGACAAGGCTCTGTGTTGAGGGTCAAGCAGTGGTCTGAGGTGCTGGCACACCCAGCCTGGTTTTTATTACAGTCTTGCAAATACAGGACCGCCCACAGGGAGGTATAAAATATCCAGTAACATATTAGTTACAACCCACAGATTCCCTCCCCCTTATCCTGAGAGGTAACCCAATTACACATACTTTTTACCACAATGCATCCTGGCTTCCTCTCCTCTGCCCAGGAGATAATTGAGAAGTAATTAAATTATCTCCCAGGACAGAGACAAGACTCCATTATGCACATGGTTAGCACAAAGCATTAAAATACTGTACAATACACAAAGTCCCATTTTATACATAAAACACAGACATGTCAGAGACAAGACTCCATTATGCACATGGGGACACAAAACAAGCATTACTGTTAAAATACACCAGGTAAGACACCTTACATTAAAACTATACATTTAACATATCCCCAGATAGCTCAGGTCTGAGCGCACATTATTAAGTGAATGGCGCTCAGACCACACGAATACAGTTTAATCGCCATGGAGCCAAAGTCTTTACAGTCAGTTTCATACGAATGGGCTCCATGGGATTCCTATCTGGGGTATAACACATTCAAACAAATCTACCGAACCCCAGGCAGAAAAGCACGAATGAAGCTTTTCTGCAGGTAAAAAAGATGTCTTTTAACAGGGGGCCATAGTCCAAAGGCAGCAGGCGAGCAACCAGGCTTCTCCAATGCAATGTGGCGAGATTGGTCTCGTCACATCTCTCCCCTTTTCCAAACAGACTAACAGGGTATCTGACCTCCTGCCGGTCAGTGCCCTTGTTAGTCCAGCAGCCCACCCACAAGACATAATCAACAGCACAGCCCACCCACAATAAATGGTTACTGCACCTGGGTAGAGGAGAAGCTTGTCCATGTCCAGGTGCCTCACCACGGCTGTGCTGGGTACGGGTACGCTGACTTGGTGGGGTGCTGCATGGGCAGAGACCAGTGGCACTCTGCCCTGTTGCCAGCGCTACTGGGAGGGTAGCCTGGTTGAAGCCTGGTTGTTGGAGGGGGAGACCGACTGTCTCCCCTTTAGATACACAGTCCTGCTGCTGGAGACCGACTGTCTCCCCTTTGGTAACACAGCTCTGCTGCTGGAGACCCACTGTCTCCCCGTTGGCTAAACAGCCCTGTCGCTGGGGGGCAGAACCGACCGTCCCTACCCCCTGTGCTGTATGTGCAAAGACCACGGTCCCATCTGCACAGTTGTGGGGCTTACTGTCTCCCCCGGGTACATTAAGCTGCCGCTGGGGAGAGGGGGTAACAAGCTCCTCTCCCATATATACTTCCAGCCGCGGGGGAGGGAGACCGACTGTCTCTGCTCCCAATACAGAGTCCTGCTGCTGGGGAAAGGAGACTGGGCTCTCTATTCCCGGTAGGACACTCTGCCGCTGGGGAATGGAGACTGGGCTTCCAATGCCCTGTCTTATCTCCCGCTGGGGAATGGAGACTGGGCTCCCAATTCCCAAAAAATCACGCTGCCGCTGGGGAGGGAGGACACTGCTCTCCTCTCCCTGGACTTCACACTGCCTTCCCGGCATATCACTCGGCTGCTGGGGGGCAGGAACAACTACCTCTGCCCCCTGTAACTCAGCCTGTCGCTGGGGAGGGAGGACACTGCTCTCCTCTCCCTGTACTTCACACTGCCTTCCCGGCATATCACTCTGCTGCTGGGGGGCAGGAACAACTACCTCTGCCCCCTGTAACTCAGCCTGTCGCTGGGGAGGGAGGATGCTGCTCTCCTCTCCCTGCACTTCACACTGCCTTCCCGGCATATCACTCTGCTGCTGGGGGGCAGGAACAACCTCCTCTGCCCCCTGTAACTCAGCCTGCCGCTGGGGAATGGAGCTTGGGCTCCCAATTCCCTGCAATACCGGTGGAGAGACCTCTGTCCCCTCTCCACCTGCCGCCTGGGGTTCCTCCCAGTAAATTTCAACAATATCTTCCCAGCTGAATGGGTCTGAGACTGGATCTGTCACTCAAAACTCAGCACGAATGAAGCTTTTCTGCAGGTAAAAAAGATGTCTTTTAACAGGGGGCCATAGTCCAAAGGCAGCAGGCGAGCAACCAGGCTTCTCCAATGCAATGTGGCGAGATTGGTCTCGTCACAACCGGCATTTAAATGCTTTATTTTCCTATGCAGAAAGGTCTATTCCTGTATTTCTGCCCTGGCGTTCGGTAGATCCTCGGGTTTACTGAATGAGCTCATTGTTAAGACACCTCCAGTGTCTTTAGGCAAAACCGCCGTTTAGTCGACCTTCCCCGTCTGCATTCTCAGTAACTCCATTCGCTTAACCTGTAGTACACGAACCAAATGCAGGGGAAGCGGCAATCTCTCGACCGGGATCCGTGAACGGCTCCAAACTCCCGAACGGCAATACACGAACTGCTGCTAGCCGCCGAACAATAACATCCACCAAGCGGCTTTCGTTTCCATCCAGCAGTCTCTAAACGTGAAGAAGAAATCCCCCCCAATAACGAGACAGAAGCTCCGCATTGAGGGTCAAACAGGATCTGGCTTTACTGTGGGCTACCTGCCCGTATTTATGCAGGTCTCCCACTTGGTGGACACTCCCCTAGGGGACCAAATGGGAGACTTAAATGACAGACAGATAGGGGGACAGACACATAGACACAGTTTTTAACCACAATGCACTATGATTCCCTCCCCTCTGCCCTGGAGATAATTACCAAGTAACTCAATTATCTCCAGGACAAAGCCAGTCGCCATTTTAAATATAAACCCCAAAAAGACATAAAAATACATAACTTTAAAATAACCGAACATTTCCCGTTCGCATGACATATCCCCAGATAGCCTGGATCTGAGGGCATATTATTAGCGAATAGCGCTCAGATCCCACACACACAGTTCAATCGCCATGGAGTCAAAGTTCTTACAGTCTTTCGGTATACGAATGACTCCATGGGAAGGCTATCTGGGTTAAGTCTTTTCGTATGCTCCAAAACTCCCGAACGGCCGGTGTTCGTATGCTTTCGTGGAGGCAGCCAGGCGTTCCGTTGTTTCAGCGGTGTTCGGCAGAAAAAGTGTCCGTTTTTAGTTCCATAGAAATAGAGCCAAACACCGCTGGGCGTTCGCTTGGTTTAAAATGGCCGCTGCCTCGTGGTCGACATACGAACGACGACCACCCTGAATTCGGTTTAATTGAGAAGTGTCTGCGGTTAACCACAACGTTCTAATTGGGATCAATAGGTTAACCAGCAGCACACTTCTCTCCTGGGTGGCCGTCCGTTCGGTAGGTTTGTTCGGGAAAAACAGTCATTCGTATGGCTGGGCTATAGAAACAGCCATTCACACGAAAGGGGCAGAAATAGACAAATCCACCTGAAATAAGCAGACAGATGGTTCTGTCACACTCATTTAACCCAGAAAACTATGCCATGGAGCCTATTCGTGTAATAAAAGACTTTGGCTCCATGGCGATTGAACTGTATGTGTGTGGTCTGAGCGCCATTCCGTAATAATGTGCGCTCAGACCTAAGCTATCTGGGGATATGTTGCATATCTGTATTTTATGTAATAAATGTAACCTTGTGTATTTTATTGTATTTTACTGTCTTTTTACTGCCATGTGCTTAATGGAGTTTTGCCTCTGTCCTTGGAGATAATTGGATTACTTCCCAATTATCTCCAGGAGAGAAGACTTTGTGGAACTGGTTTTGGGCAGAAAAGTCATGCTTTATTTGGTCACAAAGGACTTCGATCTATCTTTTGAACCAATGGACCAATTTGGATGATTTTGACATATGTTTGTATTTGGAGTATTTATGTGAATGTGATGCATACTTTTCAAGTTATGAATAATGTGGAAAAACTGTATTTCTCTGGCTGTTATAATTACATTACCCATTGTGTAAGGTAATTGTATCACTGGCAGAGGGGAGGATTTTGTGTAGGAGTGTCTGAGTGAATTGTACGTGTTTATTGGTTGTTTTCCAAAACCCTGTGGGTGGTACTAATGTGTATATAAGAACAATAAACCCACAGTTCTGACTGTTCACTTATCTCGTTCTTGGGGGGATTTACTGTATGCGGTTCCAGTTTGACTGCTAGGAGTGTAAACCTATTCGTATGGTTTTTCCTATTCGGCTGTTTACAGCATTCGTATGGTTTCCTGTTCGGCGGATTGGTGTTCTGCAGTAGCTGTGCCTGTGTATCTGAAGGGAAGATCTATTAAACGGCGGTTTAAACTCTTTTATGCTGAGAGTGCCGTTACAGTTTGTGTCTGCTTCTTAACATCCAGAGGAAGAGGAGCAGTACTTATTATTTATATTAAGTACTAATTTTAATTCTGGTTTAGTGAGTATTACAGAGTAAATTTCAATCCCCTTTGTCCCCCGGTGCATGGATCAAACTCTCACACATGGGGTGAATTAATCCGTTCACTTCCAAATTCTTTCAAGAATCTAGATTTTGCCAGAAATTAAAGTTTGGTACCGATCTGTTCTAAAATGTTCTATTTAAACTGTTTACTGATCACTTAAAACTTGTTCCCAGTCCTGTTTTCTATCCTTCTATGTTAGATAATAAATACACAGAGTAAGATAGTGGGAAGCATATTTGCTGTAATTTCCATAGGCTTTTATCACACTGTGAATTTCTGAATTTCCTGTGTTCAAGCACAAAGTGGGTGCTGTACAATGTAACACAGTCTATAAACAGTACTGCAACATTTATAATAGGGATAAGAAGCTGCTAGATTGGGTAGGTACAAACGCTTTCTTACTTTATAAAAGGACTTATTTAAAGAAAAATCAGTCCTTTGAAGGGACACTGCAGGCACTAATATTAAACGATTAATAGCTTCAAGCCATGCCTCCAAGCCCTCTGAGTATGAGAGCCAGAAATCTTACTTAAAAGTTTTTTCCTGACACTATAGCTTCCCCTCCCTTGCACCTCCCCACCTCCCCGTAGTGCAGAAAGGGTTAAAATAAAACTTACTTTGCTTACCTCAGTCCTTTGTCACTTCATCAGATAGGAAGCTAAGAGAAATATCCGATTTACAATATGTCTCTAATTCAGTCTCCTGGGAACAGCCTGAGGATTGGTAGCCTATTTACAGTGTAATTACTATACTGCCTCCCAGAATGCACAGCACAGACCCAGCATGTACACATGTCTCTCCACAACACAAATGAGAGTTTTCTGAATGTTGACTGTGCATTTTATTTAGCTGAGTTAGCTTTGCGCAGTGGCAGTATTGTAGTCAATGAGGTTAATCCGAGGCGTGATTATTGCTAATTGAAAACTTTTTCCAATACCCTACCATGATGACTTGCAATATAGTCAGCAATGGCAATTTTTGACAGTTTCTAAGGAGATTGAAATTACTTGTACAACAATAAAAACTATATTTGTGAACTATTTTTCAATATGGTTGATTTTTTTATTTTTCTACTGTTAGATTCACTTCAAATTACATTTTTTTTTATTTGGTTTTGCTCATAAACTCCCATAATGCAAGAAGCTAAGGGGTTTTGCTTTTAGAATATTACTTCACTTTGTCTCTAAACATCTGTTGTGTTATTCCAGATTTGCAGTCCCCTGTCTACAGAACTTAATGGTACTCGCTGATACCCAAAAAAATGAAGCCTGTCAGTTTGTCACACTGATTCCAGGTTAGAAAATATGCTGGGAAATGTAGTATATTTTGAATGTACCAGTGTTAGGAGAGTAATGCATGCAGGGATGTGTAGTTCGCCATGTTAGTGCACAGATTTTAAAAAAGAAAAGAAAAAGTAGATGTAGTTTATTCGGCATGTGCCCTGATTCCAGGACAGTAAAGCATGCTGGGAGATTTTTACTATTGCGACTAGTGCTCTGTAACACTTTACAATTTTAACATCTTGGACATAAAATAATCTCCAGATTAAATTCTGAGAAATATGTGACATTTCTATTTAATGACTCTATTTTGTCTCTGGAAATTGAACTTACTGGTAGGATTATATGGATGAACAAATGACACTGTAAAGCAATACTGTAATATTTAGTCACGCATGTACATTTTATTTTTTGCCCTAGAATTTAGTTGGTTCATTACCATTGAAACTGATTCCATTGTTTATGTTGTTATTTAACCCCTTAAGGACTGAGCCAAATGTACACGTTGTGAACAAAACAAATTGTAAACAAAACCTGGCATTTACGCTACATGTCTGTCCAACCGTAATTCACCTATTTCATGTTAAATGCACCCACCCTTATTATATATCATTTTATTCAGGGGAAACAGGGCTTTCATTTAATATCAAATATTTAGCTATGAAACATAATTTAATATGAAAAAAATGAGAGAAAATTAGATTATTTTTTTCATGACATTTTAACTGTCAATGTCATAATATGGTTTGCTTTTACTGCAATAAAATTCACATATTTGTATTCAGCAACATCTCACGTGTAAAACAGTACCCCCCTATTGTACAGGTTTTATGGTGTTTTGGGAAGTTACAGGGTCAAATATATCACATTACATTTGAAATAGAAATTTGACAGATTGGTTACGTTGCCTTTGGGACTGTATAGTAGCCCAGGAATAAAATTTACACCCATAATGGCATACCATTTGCAACAGTAGACAACCCAAGATATTGCAAATGGGGTATGTCCAGTCTTTTTAGTAGCCATTTTGTCACAAACACTGAATATATATGATCTAAGTATATATTTTTTTTTTTTTACACTTATTTAACTTTTATTTTATTTGAATTCAGCCAGCAGGGTGAATACCTGTCATTACAGGCAGTTCCCTTGCTGGCAATACAGCAGGCAGCTAACCCGGCCATGTGATTGTGAGGTCCTCCCTGGGAGTCCCCCCAACCACGATCGCCAGCAACCGGGTAAGTAAAAAAAAAAAAACCTGAGGGCGTACTATTACCCCCGGCGTTGTTTAAAGCCACCTAAAGTAGGGCATAATAGTATGCCTTCCTGTCAGAAGGGGTTAAATCTGATTTTAGACATTTGTTATGGAACCTGATAAGCGTCAATTCTCAAAAAATTGAGTGAAACATATGGTTGTTGCACTCCACAGAAATCTTTAGAAAAAGGCAAAAGATTTATTCAGTCTTAAAAGAAACCAGAAAATGCAATGAAACACTCACAGTAGCACATCAGTTTCAGACATGTGCTTCCAAACATATGGAGAGCAATACTACAATTAACTGTAACGTGGAGAATCCAGTATAATTATTAAATAAAAAAACATACCATGCATGGTATTGCCTCTTAAAAACTGTTATTAATTTAGTAGCTAATTGAACATGGCCATCATGCCTTGCAATGCATTGTGGGTATGTAAATTAGGGACGCCCCCAGTTGACATGCTGTTAACTGCATGCTTTTTCTAACTGTTGAGCCCTGCAGCTGTAAACCATGTGATTGCTGGGGTCGTACTTTGTCCACACATCCCTCAAAACTACATTTCCTGTTTGTAGACTGTATTGCTTGTTTTCCAAAAAAGTTCAAAGAGGCTATTAATTTCAAGAGTGCATTTCGTAATACTACAAATGTAATATGCGCCTATCTACTATTGCACCCTCCCTTTATTTTTTGTACACTACACCACAGTGCCCCTATAAAAGAAAGAATGACAAAAAAAAAGCTGATCTTTGTTTAAACCATAAATTAAAATGGCCATTTTGTTTTGCAAACATTATTGGTATGTAAAATAGGTATGCCCGAACTGATATGCTGTTAAATGCATGCTTTGTGCAACTGTTGCGCCCTGCAGCTCTTAACCATGCGAACGCCAGTGTCGTCCTTTTTCCACACTTTCCTCAAAACTACATTTCCTGTTTGTAGCTCAAATGACCATTGTACCTTCAATGTTTAATCTTGCGCTAACAAATACAAAGCTTGGTATAGTAAATAAAAGTCTAGGCCCTTATGCTCTGCTGAAGACTTACGTCTATGTTCTGTCCGTACTCCCACTTCTAATGCTCACCTTCAAGTCTTCTCGAGGGCTGCACCGTTCCTGTGGAACTCACTTCCCTCCTCCGTTAGATGCTCACCCAGTCTCCACTCCTTCAAATAATCATTAAAAACCCACTTCTTCATAAAAGCATATCAATTAAACTGTTAATAGCTCCGGCTGATTTCTCTTGTGCAACTGTCATTAGTCTAATACTATCCTTACCTTTTTGTGTCATTTTACCCCACTCCCTCTAGCATGTAAGCTCATTGAGCAGGCCCTCAACCCCTCTGTTCCTGTGTGTCCAACTTGTCTGGTTACAACTACATATCTGTTCATCCACCGACTGTAAAGCACTACGGAATTTGTTAACGCTATATAAATAATAACATAAAAATAATAAAACACCACACCGATTATGGGTATAAGAAAAAGCCACAGCCGATTCATTAAAATGATTATCCTGCAAAACTAGTAATAAAATAGGTGCTTTAATGTGGACAATGATCCAAAACATATTAAAACTAAATCATGGTTTAAGGCTAGTGCTGACTGTAATGAAGCTTACTGTAGTCCGGTTGGGTAACTCCGCTGACGGATGCTCCTAGTGCTCACAAGGACTCCAAGCACTCCACCAGACACCATCAGCACTGCAATCCCCACGTGCAGCGTTACAGCTTGGCTGGGAACTCGCCGTCTCCTACCCGCCACCAGCGATTTTCCCTGAGATTTTTACTTTTTGTTTTTGGGATGTTAGTACGTTTAGAGTTTTCTCAGGGTAACCACCTGCAAGATATATATTATCTAGTTATGGTGGTATATTGTTTGTTTGTTATATTATTTGTTATATTATATTGTGATGATATAATTGTTTGTGTAATTTGTGAGGGATTGGCTATCGGGAATGGGGGAGGATAAGTCTCATTTAACATTTTAGAGCCAGCTTTTGGAAGGGAACTCGTGGATATGAGTAACAACGTCAAGTAAAATTGTATCTATAAATGCACAGGGTTTGAATTCTCCGGTAAAAAGAGGCCTTCTGTATAGAATGTTGTTAGAAGATAAGATCGATTTGTCCAAGAAACACACTGGAAGGAAAGGGAATAAAATTTGTTGAACTATGCAAAATTTTCATATATTATGTATGCTAATATGTTAGACAAAAAAAAGAGGAGTCACATTATTTGCTTCTCTAAACTTAAATTTGAACAGATATATTTGGAAAAAGATCCACTTTGAAGGTTTTTAATACTTGTATGTAAACTGAATGATATTATCTATACTTTGATTAATTTATATGCTCCTAACGTATTCTCACAAACATTCTATAGGAAACTCTTTGGAAAGATCTGGAAAGTTAAAAAAGGGATATTATTAGTTGGAGGAGATTAGAACACTATCCAAGATCCAAAACTGGATAGAAGATCCAAAGGCTTAAAACAATTAAACTATCCTCATAAAAAGCAATATATTTGGCTCCAAGACTTCCTAGCTAAATTTGAGTTATTCAATATTTGGAGGGTACAACATCCAACTGAAAACGATTTTAAGTTTTTATCTAAAGTAAGAAAATTCGTAAGTTCAGAAATTGGACCTATTGTTTGGTCCGACCATGCCCCTATTAGCGTAATATTAGAAAACAACCTAGAATATAACATTAGACCCCAGTGGCACTTAAACAAATCAATTATAACATCTGAAAAAATAGGCAGTATCTTGAAAATAGGGCAAAAGAATTTATTAAATATTAATGATAATGGACAAGTTTCTAACGAATGGTTAGAAATGGTTAACTTTTAAATGTGTTATGAGGGGTAATTTAATTAAGTTGGGTGTTAGAACTAGAGAAAGTAGAGGTGCGAACTTAGCAGACCTTTATATACAACTGTCTAAACTTGAGCATAGCAATAAATTAAATACAAATTCTCTTTTAGCTTCACAAATGAATACCCTCCAAGATCAAATAAATTTTTTTTTGAAAATAAAGTTAAAAATTCAATTATAGGGGGCATGGCTTGGACGCTGAGGAAGATGGCGGCGTAAACCGGGAGCTCCCCACAGGTTCAGCAAAAATCCTCGCCAAACCAGCACCCTAAACCGACACCATGGGAAAAACTCACAGGACATCACAGACTACTCAGCCCTCCAGCACTCCCAAGAGGGTTCAGCATTCCGCCATGCGACAATTCCTCGTGCCGCCGGCTGAACAGATCATGCAGGCCTCAAACGACTCAGAGGCCTCGGGCCTCTCCCACCCACCCTCACTGTGGGACGACCATCATGGCCGGAGCACCCCCCAGCAATGTCAGCCGGAATGGGTCGAGCTGATTCGGAACCTACCGACCAAAGCTGACCTGAAGGATGCTAATGCCGCCCTCCATAAATCCTGCACCTTAAGAGAAGACAACCAGGGCACCTAGCAAAAAGTAACCCAATTGGAAGCCGATTGTGACCATATGGCGTCGGCGCAGGCCGCAAATACGAACACGCTCCAGCAACACGCGGCTCAACTTCGTCAGATGGCGCAACACTTGGAAGATCTTGACAACCGCGGAAGGAGGCAAAACATAAGGATAAGAGGTATGCCGGAGGAGCTTGACCAAACTACCACGTTAAGGGATACTCTCGCTAAATTGTTTAACAACCTCCTCGACAGGCTGACAACCACCCACATAGAATTCATTAGGGCACATAGGGCCCTTAGGCCGAAAGGGCCACCAGACGCCCCTCCAAGAGATGTCATTTGCTGCTTGGCCCACTTTCAAACCAAGGAAGACATCCTACGCAGAGCTAGGGACACCAAACAGGTACTTATTAACGGAGTTGAGGTACAGTTGTACCCGGACTGGGTTGGACATACCTCTTTGACACCCTGACACACGCAGGACTGGGACCATACATGAGGAGATGGATAGAAACCCTATACCACGAACTGACAGCCCTCGTCCTTGTCAACGGGGCACTGACCACCGAATTTACGATACACAACGGTACCAGACAAGGATGCCCACTATCCCCCTTATTGTTCGTCCTTGCTCTGGAGCCATTCCTGACACACATCAGACAAAACAAAGACATCACAGGGATCATAACCAGCGAGGTTCACCATAAAGTAGCCGCTTTCGCAGACAATCTCCTCTTCTTCGTCACCAAACCGGAAATATCCCTCCCCAACATCCTACACGCCTTTAAAGAGTTTGGAGAGATCTCCAACCTAAAAATAAACTACACCAAATCCCATATCCTGAACGTCAGTGTGCCGAACAGACGTGCTGGCCTCCTACGCCAGAGCTTCTCATTCCAATGGGCTGATCAAAAGATCAGATACCTAGGAACCTGGCTAACCAGAGAGAGCAAAGACCTCTTTCAAGCAAACTTCGCCACCACACCGAGAAATCTCCCATACACCGAATACACCATGAACGTGTGGCGTAGGACCTTGAAGATGAATGGTTTTCACCCTACCCCTCTCCCCTAACACCACTAACACACAACACCGACTTTAGGCATTTCAGGGAATCCTTCCGGCCCCGATCTCAAGACTACACCACATAATCTCCAACGGCAAGTGTAAACCACTCTCGGACACGCTCGGAGACACTACACCCACATTCCTACACAGATTCAAACACGCACAACTCTCCACCTTCGTACACACCCTACCACAGGGAACCGCACTCACCAGAGACCGCACGACATTCGAAACACTGTGCAACAACCCAAACTCACTACCACATGGAATCTCTTTCTTATACACGATGCTACAGACGGAGACCTCTACTGACAAACCTCTTTTTGTGGGAAAATGGGAAACAGCACTGAAAAGGACATTTACCGACGCGGAGTGGGAGCAAATATGCTACCTCACCCACCACTGCTCGGTATACAATAAGACCCAAGAGACTGCCTTTAAAATCCTGACAAACTGGTACCGCACCCCGCACCTCCTCCACAACATCGACCCAGAACACACCAACCAATGCTGGAGGTGCGAAAGAGAGGTGGGAACTGCGATACACATTTGGTGGGAATGCGAGGTAATTAGACCTTACTGGAAGGGCATACACAGAATACTGGAAATATTCTCGGACGCGCTGCCCCCTGGAACCGGCAGCAATGCTCCTCCACCACAGTACCTAAATCTAAATACAAGAAATCCATGACAATTAGGATAC